CTCAATTTGTGCAGACTTCTCAACAAAATCAGAATACTATGCAAGCGTCCATCACTAAGTTAGAAACTCAAGTTGGTCAGCTGGCTACTATTGTGCATGAGAGGGCGCAAGGTACATTCCCAAGCCAACCTGAAATTAATCCTCGAAAGTCTGAGCATGCCAAGGCTATTAGAACGCTGCGGAGTGGAAAATCATATGGTCCACAAGAGAATGATGCACCAAATGCTGGCCACGCTGAAGATCATGTCAAGAAGAGTGGTGAGGAGGTGGATATTACTTCTAATAAGCCAAAAATAGTCCCACCTACATCATCTATTACAGCTGTAGCCGAGAAGCCAAAGGGAGAGAGTTACACGCCATCCTTGCCTTTCCCACAGCGTGTTCACAAGCAAAGGAAGGACCAACACATGTTTGATATTTTGGAAATTTTTAAGAAAGTGCAGATCAACATTCCCTTGCTTCAAGCAATTCAACAACTTCCTTCTTATGCAAAATTTTTGAAGGATGCATGTACAAACAAGAGAAAATTTGCAGCTCATGAAAAAGTGATGTTAACTGAAGAGTGCAGTGCGGTGTTGCTCAAGAAATTGCCTCCAAAACTAAAGGACCCAGGGAGTTTTACAATTCCTTGTATTATTGGTGATGTTCAATTTGATAAAGCATTTTTAGATTTAGGCTCAAGCATTAACCTTATGCCTTTGTCTATTTTTCAGCGATTAGGTATTGGAGAGCTCAAAAGTACTACCGTTTCTCTTCAACTTGCGGATAGATCAGTCACATATCCTAAAGGAATCATTGAAGACGTGTTGATTAGGGTGAAGCAATTTGTGTTTCCAGCTGATTTCTTTGTTCTTGACATGGAGGAAGACCGCGACATCCCACTCTTGCTCGGCCGTCCCTTCCTTGCTACAGCTGGTACATTGATTGATATGCAACAAGGAACTTTAACTTTGAGAGTTCAAGGCGAATCCGTTGAGTTTAAGGTGTTTGAAGATGTTGAAAAACCAAGGGACTTGAAGCCCAATTGGACATGTCAACTACTTGGAAAACTCCTCTACGGATGTCTCGAAAGCCAAGTCGCCACCCCCTCCATGCATGAAATGCATGCCCACTTCTCTTGGACGTGCTGGAATTTATCAATGTTTTATCAAAAGCTTTTCCAAGATGAGCCAGCTCTTGTGGCATCTCCTTGCCAAGGATCACACCAAGACATTGCATGACAAGGCTATTGTTCACAAGGAGTTTGGACAACAGCCCAAGCACTACATGGAAGAAGTAGCATTCTTTGCTACTTCCGCACCACCATAGACATTCGAAAAGTCTAGCTCATGACTATAAAGAAGCGCTTCTTGGGAGGCAACCCCAAGCATTCTCACCTTTGTTTTCATTTGTTTTTGTCTTTAGTTTCTCTGTGATTTCTCTTGCATTTTTCATGTTTTTGTTGTTTTTGTTAAGTTTTGCATCATCAAACATAGGATTTTGTGTTCCAAAGAAAAATTTCGCATTTTTCTAGCCCTAGGATGTTTGCAGCACGTTTCAGATGTGTTACAGTAGTTTTTTTTGTCATTGGTTGAAGTTAAATGCCAGAAAATAGCAACATAGCTAAGTAGGTTCTTATTTTGGTCAAAATAAAAATTTCTGCCTAATGTCTTTTTTGTTGTTTTTCAGGTCAATCTAAAGCCATCGACGTAACCAAGGTGGTTAGTGTGAGTGGTTCGGCACTCTCATTCCTTAAGAGAGGTCAGGGGTTCGATCCCTGCTCTGGTACGGAGTCACCACTTTGGCCAACACTTTACCCCTTACGGGCCGACCCGGTGTGAGTGGGGATTAGTCTGGGTTGTGGTTAAGGCTTAAAGGTGCCACCCATAATTGGGGTCCATTCAGGACCACCTCATGGTTCAGACCAAAAAAAAAGCCACCGACGTGTTTAGAATGGTTCTAATGATGTTTTGGACCAGGTTTGGGGGTCTTCGGTGGCCTACATTATGTTTTAGGACGATTTGAAGCTCAAAAAAGGACCTAAAACACAAAAAAAGGCAGCTGCTGTTTTGCCCAGAATTTGAAGATTTTTCGTCACCAAAGGGGTTTTAGCGACGGTGTTCATCGGATTTTTCGTCACAAAAGATGTTTTAGCAGCGGTGTTCATCAGATTTTTCGTCACTAAAAGTCGGATTTCCAGATTTTTATGATTACATATCCAACTCAAATTCGTTCCAATTTCATCGCATTCCGATACGGGTCTATGATATTCCAAGAAGCAAGTTGTGGGTGTTTAAGTTCGTCACATTGTCCATCCTCTCTCACTTCGACATATTCTATTCTTTGCTCAACCACACCTACACAAACCTGGGAAGTTCTCACACTCTCTCTCTCTCTTTAATTAATTTTGCATGACTTAGTTTTCTTTGTTTTAAACATTGAGGACAATGTTTGTTTTAAGTTGTGGGTGATTGAGTTCATTGGTTTCATAATGCATGCAGCAGTCCTTTGTCTTTGTTTTCAATTCTGTTCTTGTCTGCTGCTGTTTCTGTATTTTGGCCCGCGGTGCGTTCTTTGTTTTTTCGTTCTGAATCCAACCATATAAAGAACGTAAACTTTGGCCAAGTATTTTGGGAGATATGTGTAATTTTTTGCACCTAGGTCAGAACTGCAGTTTTGTTTATTGATTTTCAATTCCTTTCAACTTTTAGTTTTTATTTTGTTGTTTAGTTTAGTTTTCGTTTTTTTTTTCTCTATAAAAAAAAAATTTTAAAAAAAAATTCTGAAAAATGTCATAAAACCCCAAAATGTTAGTTTTTATTTTGTTGTTTTGTTTTGTTTGTGGTAGTCACTTCCCAATTCTATGATGAGATTGAATTTTATTTGCAATTAACTTTCAAGAAATGTTGAGCATGACAATAATTCTTTACATTATCTTTGTGTTAGCCTTATTTTTGTGATTAGACTTGGGAAATCCTTATGCACATAGCCACATTAATATGAGTTTCGATTGGGGATTTCACATGTTTTAAATGGCTAAATAAGAGCTAGTGTAAACTTATATAACCCTTATGTGAATTTTTGAGCCTATGCTTCCTTTCTTGAGTGTTATATGATATTCTATAATTTTCTTGTCTACGTCGTTGTGATCTCATTATTCTTTGCTCATTATTCTTTGTTTTGGTCAAGTACTTGAGGATGTTTAAATTGTTTGCTAGAACTACTTTCATGATCTATTTGAGGCATACTTCGTGAACCACATGGATTCTTGGAAGTGATATAGGCCTTGTTTCTTTCGTTTGAGCCCTTCTAGCCAACCCGTATCACTTTTATCCCTAGTTAACCCCCTTGTGCCTTTTATGTAAGCCTTTTTCGTTCTTTACCCAATTCTCCTCACCTTAATCTATCATATGTTTATCCTACACCCTTTTAAGGAGTTTTGTAGAGTATTTTCGTTGTTAAGGGAGAATTGCACAAATTATTCAATCATGTGGAAAGTAAACGATACTATTTCAACCAAAAAACAAAAAAAAAACTAATTTCGAAGCCTTTTCAACTTGAGTTATTAAGCCCTAGGAGTGTTTTACATTTAATGCCCTAAAGCTAGCTAGCTTGGGAGTCATTGGCCTAACACTCGCTACATGGGTTGATTAGAAAGCTAATGGAGTTAGAAAAAAAAAATTGTGAAAAAAAAAGAAGAAGAAGAAAAAAAAAATTCAAGATAGTATCAGTATGAAGTTTCGTGCTCAAAGTGCAAGATTTTATAATTTTCATGGAAAGCTCTATGAATTCCTTAGAATTTGTTCATCCATCTCTTTTCTTGTTTCACCCATCACCCTAAGCCCCATTACAACCTTAGTGAAAGTCCTACTTGATCCAAGGAGAAGTGTGGTTCCTCATGTGGAGAATAGGTGTGGAAGTACTATGGTCGGATGGTTTAAATGTTTTCAAGTATGCGATATCTTCCCATGAGATTTTTTATATTTGTCATGTGCCTTTATTTCAATTATGTGAGTACATCCTATTGCTTTGATTCCTCTCACATATATGAGTGACACTACCTAGTCAAATTTCGAGTGCTGTCAGCATAAGATGCAATCCCGTCAAAACTGTGCTGCTGTGGAAGAATGACCATTTGAAGACTTTCCTGATTTTTCCTCATGGCGCGCGATATATGGATGGAAAGATAAGACAAAACTATACAATTTACATATTTTTCCCGATTTGTCTTGGAGGAGGAACAACCCCAAACGTGCAAGCAAAGTAACTGACATGTTATCCCAGTCCAAGTAGGAAGAGGAGTAAGCATGGCCAGATAAACGTTCAAGCATTTGATCAATAAAAGGCAAGGGGAAATGATCTTTTCTAGTGGATGTGTTCAACTTCCTGTAATCAATGCAAA